TTATAATCTAAAAGTACTACGTTGTTTACAACTACATGCGAATATACATTACATCGAGTCAAGTTACAGGAATGAGCAATACCAGCAATTGACTGTTGCTACAAACATGAAATCTCAACTGGACTCACTTGTCTCAAAATCCGATGTTTTCCATATTTAAAGAAGAACAGCTAAGAAYGCTTTAGAAACATACGGMACAATACAAAATACAGAACACACACTTACCTTATTGTTGCAGGTCGCACCATTCTGACACGGATGACTCAAGCACTCATCCACATCCGAGTCACAGTGTTTACCCGTAAAACCGGGCGTACAATAACACTTGTACGAGCCCTCTTCATTCTTACAAATGCCATTGCCGCAAATATTCGGATCCAAAGCGCACTCATCCACATCCTTCGTGCACGTACGACCCGTCCAGCCGGACGTACAGCTGCAGGTGTACTCGCCATTCGACAGATCCGTACAGACGCCACCATTGCGACACGGCTGCGCCGAGCAAGCCGTGCAGATCTTATTCTCCGGACAAACACACTTATTCAACTGGCATACCATTGGCTCTTGGCAATTGAGCGCCGTACAAGGTTCGGCTTTCTCGCAGCGTTCGCCCGTAAAGCCACCGGCACAATAACAATGTGTACCATTCATCGAACAGGTGCCACCATTCAAACACTTGCCGCCATTGATGCAATTGACTGCGGCGCTGTTGGGATTGTTGCCGACGGCGCCGCCACTGCCGGTCAATGGCACATTCGGCGGACCATCTGTGACGGGCAGTTCGCAGTTGTAACCTGTGGTTGTGGGAGAAAAATCGCAATTAGTCAAGCACGTTCGGTGTGTGTGTGTGTGTGTGTGGCGGGAGTGTACAGTTATTTTACTAATTTTTTCCATATTCTCTTTTGTTTTTTACGGTTAATGCTAACCAAGAGCAATTGTTGTAGTTAACACAAGCAAACCAAACGCCAAATTAACTAGATTTACGCTCGTTAAAATATTCGGCWGTGGGGATTTAAATACATACAAGTGGGCGTGGGGAGGTGGGTAAAAAAAAAACAAATAATAATATGAAAATTGCGAGCAGCACTACATGCATATATGTATACAGCTAATCATATTTATAACATTCGTGTGTGTGTTTGTAATTATAAATTAAGCTACAAGAACAGCAAGTCTACCAACATTACAACTACAATTATAAACGGTAATTAGAAGGGTGTTTGAGGTTAAGTATTTGTGTTGACTTTGTACAGGATTGTTTTTTGTTGCTGTTGCTGTTGTTGTTTTTGTGTGGTTTTTTTTTCTATTGTACATTCTTTGGATATATTGTATTTGCATGTATTATATACATAGTATGTAGTATTGTAATTGTTGTAATGTTCCAAACCTGTGTATCCACTAGCACATAAACAAGTAAAATTTGAAGCACTGCCACTACAAGTGCCACCGTTCAAGCAATTATCGGGGGGGCATGCTTTCAATTGAGCCAAATGTGATAATAGCGGATTATKTGTGGTTTTTGTTGTTGTTGTTGTTGCCGTGTTTATTGCTATATTTCTAGCTGTTGTCATTGTTGCGGTTGTTGTTGGTGCTGTTATGTTCGCTGTCAGTTGTCCTGCAGTAGCAGTTGTTGTTGTTGCTGCTGCTGCTGCTGCCGCGACGGTTGTTGTTTTTGCTGCATTAGCAACCACCAAATTGGCTGTTGGTGGTGCTGCGGTTGTTGTACTTGTTTTTGTGGTCGTCGTTGTTGTTGTTGTTGGTGGTGGTGTTGGCGGTGTTGGCGGTATTGGTAAGCAATGGCCAATTGGGCCTAAATTAAGATATTAGTGCCAATTGAAAGGAGATAGTACAAAGTACATGCACCACAATTAGTTTCTATAGAAATTCGTATGTATGTATGTATTTATGTATGTACATATGTATGATGTTTGAAGTGTATGTTTGGTTGTTGTTGTTCATGTATGTGTATGAYAATGTGTTTTTTATGTTTCTTGGAGTATACATGCGTGGAAACTAACAAAATCGTTCGCTTGGCTAACGGTAACTAAATGAGAGTTATCTGATTTGGGTGTTCTCTTGCATAAAACAGCTGATCTAGAACGGTGTTAACCTGCAATCGTTATTATTTTTTTCCTGAGCCTTCACTGAAAGGTTCTTATAAGTGATTTGGCGGCGTATAATTCGTTCGAATATCCCCACAAACCAATACGGCTGTGTAAACTGACGTTGAGCAATACCAAAAGCTTGGTACGGATCGGGAAAGACCTCTCAGAGCCGTTCTATACCAAATGAGATTTCAGACAAGGCGACTTCGTTTCGTGGGACTTCTACAATCTACTCTTGGTTACTAAACATGGAAATCGAACTAAATAGAGAATGGACCATCTTCTATAACAGTGTACAGCTGCTGGCGTATGCCGATGATATTGATATCAATGCCCTCAACATCCGCGCCGTTAGTTCTGCTATCTCCAGAATGGATAAGGAAGCGAAGCGGTCTGGCGGTGAATGAAGGCAAGCCGAAATATCTCCCGTCATCAAACAAACAGGCGTCGCACTCGCGACTAGGCTCTCACGTCACTGTTGACAGTCATAACTTTGAAGTCGTAGATAATTTCGTCTATCTTGGAACCAGTATTAACACCAACGACAATGTCAGCCTCGAAATCCAACGTTGAATAACTCTTGTCAATAGGTGCTACTTCAGACTGAGTAGGCAATCGAGAAGTAAAGTACTGTCTCGACGAAGAGAGAGAAAACTCTATAGGTCATTCATTGTTACCGTTCTGCTATATGGTGCAGAGGCATGGACGATGACAACATCCGATGACTTGACGTTACGAGTTTTCGAGAGAAAGGTTCTGCAGAAGATTTATGATCTTTTGCGCGTCAGCCGCGGCGAGTATTGTATTCGATGGAACGATGAGCTCTATGAGATATACGATGAAACCCACATAATTTAGCGAATTAAAAGACAGCGGAAACGCTGGCTAAGTCATGCCGTCCGAATGAATGAAAACACTCCAGCTCTGAAAGTATTTGACGCAGTACGTGCCGGGGGAAGCAGAGGAAGAGGAATACCTCCACTCTGTTGGAAAGACCAGGTGGAGAAAGAACCAGCGACGCATTGCGAAAAGAAAAAAAAAACGACTGGCGCGCTGTTGATAACTCGGCTTCATCGGCATAACATCGAGTTAGCGATGTCTAGACCAGTAAAGAAGAAGAAAAAATTGTATGTCAAAGGCGTACCTTTGCGTACTCTGCTCTGAAAGGTCA